GGGGGGGTCCCAGAGGGCGCACCCGGCCACTCGCTTCTTTTCCAGGCGGCCCTTTCTCAAGCTACCACCCTCCGCTCCGCTCCCCCGGGCGCTCGCCCCAACTACCGCTCTCTGTATCTGCTTTTGTTCTTCTTAGTTTCGCTCCGCGCTCTAGAGGGATACCCTATTGTCTTGTCTTGGAGGCTAATACCCTATTGCAAAGAATATGCTTCGCAATCTGCAAAGATTTGAAATAGTTCGTAGAAATTTAAGTGTGTAAATCCACAGCAAACATTTGCCCGTGAAGTTCCCGGTTTGTTTCCGGAAAAATTCCCGGTTTTCTCTGGCGCATGCGCAGAGCACAAGTCAACGAAGTTTCGTGTTTTACTAATTTCGTATTTTTGATGGTTTGTGAGCCAGGCAGGTGGAAATGAAGCAAGGTCGTCCTCAGATTTGTTGTTTAACCGGTTTGCCGTCAAAATTCCCTCAAATGCGCGTTCTTTCCGTAAAAGTTCCTACATAACCTAAAAATGTAAAGCGGGAAAAGTGAACTGGGAAGTACTTTCCTGAAATCAACCGGAGACTTCACGGGAAAATGTATGCAGTGTCCTGTACGAAAAATTTAAGTCCGTCATTAGTCCGTTTTCGGTACGGAAAGAGACCGCACTACCCCTACATCGTTTCCTTTTTTGAAATAAAGAAATAGGTGTCTCAGCGATTTCCTAAATTATGAAAATTATTGAGCTATGCGCCTGCGTATGCGCTACTGCTCCAAAGTGTCGGTACTTACTGTTTGAATTTAGTTCTAAAATAATAACTCCCTCAAAAATCGACCGATATTCGCCGTTCACAGCTCAAAACACTTGAACAGCTTTGCACAATCAAGAAACGCCCGCGATAGGCTGCTAGGGTGGCTCTACAGCCTCCTTGAAGGCGTAAAGAACGGTAAACACACTAAAATCGTCTGTTTTTGACGTTTTGACGTGCTATACTTGGCCAATCCGGGGCGGAAGACAGCTAATGTCCATTAGCAGAGACAGCTAATTCAATGCTGCTAACTTTTTTAGCTGTATGGTTATCATTTTAGCTGTCCATATATAGCTACTGGAATTAGCCGTGCAGCTAAGTTTTAGCTGCACAGCTAATTTTTTTTCTTCGTGTACGTAAACAAAGCCGGAGAATAACGCAGTTTGGAGCCGGGACACCATTTACGGCATGGTCTGAAGAGTCCGCTCTCTCTGTGCGTCGCTGCATCTCCTTCTCTGAAGTCGAGCTTGCAAATGCGATGTCCTGTGACTGCTGCACCCTCACGGTGATAACCGACCTTGTCTTCATTGTTACTTTTCGAGTCAGTTAGCAGGGCTGATTTCTCATTGTCTTTTTATTGCCACATTGTAAGTTTTTTTGATGTGTTGATGCCTCTTGTCATCAACCAGTGCACTCCATATCAGTCACGTTGTTAAATCTGGGTTTGATTTGTAATGAAGTAGGAGAGAGTGTTTTACTCACGGTGATGTTTGGTAGACCAGGATAAATGCATACCAGTAGGTTTTTTTTCTCTGGTGGGGAACTTTTATCGCACAACCTTAAACGCGTACCTCTGTTGGACCCATCAGGTTTCCTGGCCATGGCGGATTAAGTTTTGGGAGGGGGTGGTCGGGCAGGTAGGCGTGAGGGGGTGGGAAGAGAGCGAAGTAGGGCCATAACAAACGTATCCCCGGAGAATATACTTTTTCTGTTGAGGTACTTTCATTTCATTGCCTTAGACGTGTTTCTGGCGCTCGTGTCTCATATTGTTATGAATTTCTGATTAAAGGGAAAGGGGAAGGGGTTTGGAGATGAGACGAGAATAGGATGGGGTTGGTGGGAAGGGGCCGATCTCACTGCTAACCCATGTGCATAAATGTCGTATACTTTGCACACGTTTTTGTTTGTTGCTCGTGGACTTGTGGGTGCATTATCATGGGAGAACATTCGGACACGTACAAGTGTGTGACATGCATACACTTGTCTTCGATGACCGTGGTCTTTGTTCTTTCTCATGTGCGGCCTAATGTGTGCATTAGAATGGTACCCACCCCCCTATTTCGGAGTCCCACATTGTCTGGTGTGTTGTTGA